GCGCAAGCACCAGCTTATATGGTGGGTGTATCAATACTTCCCAACTAAGCTCCATTAAATCTTGCCTGGTCTTCAAAGATGTAGCTTTGTCATGATGAAATGCAAGGTTTTCCAATAAGAGGTGTAATTTTGATGTTCAAGGGAAAATTACATATTTTGAAATAAATACAACACAATTTAAGAAATAAGAATAAGATAAGATTGTGGAAACCAATATTAGACAAAACCGTATTGTTTTTATGAAATTTTTCAACACCAAATCGCAAGCCGGCTGCTATATGTCTTCAATAGTTTCACAAAATCAAGTCTTTGAGGTCTTGAATCAACATTGGCCTGACCGCGTAGATGTTGTCTTTCACATGGCTCCAAAGGAAATAGTCGCAAAGTATTAAATCACAGGATCTCGGTAGCCAATTGCGATCACCTCTTCGAAAGTTAACACTGTTCGAAATCTTTTTCTTAAAAGATCGATGATTCCGTTGCTTGTGTGGCACATAGCGCCATCTTGTTGAGTGTAGACGTTGTCCAGATTATCACCAACCAATCATCTCTTGAAACCACTTGGCTACTTTTTCGATGCATGATTGAGCCAAGTGGTTAGCATTACATATTGACATTCGGAAGGCTCGGGTAAGTTATTGAAAATTAATTTAAATAAATATTAAGCTAACTTTTCTTATTGCGGTCGCCTCTCTGAGTGTATTTCAGAAATAAAATAAAGGATAAAGGTTTGGAGGCCACTTAGTTTAAACTGTATGTCCCCCCTCCATTCGTGGGGAAAAAACATCAAGACACGCAAAAGCATAAATTGGAGGAGGAGTCCAATGACCCCACCAAACCAAACAGTTACACATTGAGAATAGAGAGGCTTTTCAACAATAAATCTTTGGTTTTCGAGCACCAGATGTGACTGTTTTGTTTATTGACGTTGCCATCGAGCTGGAAATGGGCCTATTCAGGCAAGATGATTTTTCGATGAAATTTCCTTCACACTTTCATGCATTTCAAGAACGCAATCAGCAGAGAAACTACGTTGTTGATGATCCGTCGAGTATGAAACTTGTAGAATGTCCAATTCCAAGAAACGACGAGGAGTGGACAAATATGGGGGTTTGGTCTACATTAGCAATATTCTCAGTTGTTCTTGAGTTACGTGCTCGTCTTTTAATATTCACTTCACTAACACGTCCCAACAGCTCCATTTCTTCCACCAATTTCCGTATTGCGGTCCGATAAGGTGCTTGACGGTTCTATGAACCCTCTCTGCCTGGTTCTCACTATCTTTATAGTGAATTTTTATAATGTCAATGTGTCGTGGAAGCGTGTAGCGTGACTTTTTTATTACCGACGTAGTTTTTACTTGTGAAATGACAAAAAATTACAGCTTCAAAAGTGTCACCTGCCGGAAAAGCAGGCAATTGAAATAACACCTCTTATCGGGAAACCCTTTACTACACAGAGCATAAGAGAGAAGACGTGGTGAATTAGATGTAACAACAAGACACTTTGGGGAAATTTGCTACTCCCATTACTTGTGAACTGTTATAATTTCTTCTTCAACATACTGGTATATAACTGGTATTTAACTAGAATTTTTGCATACTAGTCTACCTACTCCATGAGAATTTTTTTTGTATACATATGTATGTGTTATTATTCAGTGCTTGAGGGTAAGTTTTACTGGTTATGCAGTCGAAATAATTTAGTACTTACATTTAATGGATTCATTTTTCTAGTTGTTGGCTTTTTATAATAGAATTTTTTATAACGAAATTTAGTTTTGTGTTAATTACAAAATTTTTTAACTTTCAAAAAGATATACCAATTTTTTTTATTAAATAATTTGATAATTTATAGTTTTTATTTTTTGGTTTTCTTCTGGAAAATTTTGTTTATCTAAGAAATTTAGCATAATTTGTTTAAAAAGCCAATATTTCGGTAGAAAAACGTACGTTATTTATATATTAAATGTATGTATGTAATTATGGTTTATAAAATATTTTGTAATTGGAAAGTAATTTTCTACATTATATTTCTACTTTATTTATGAATATTTTTTATTTCAATTTAACTTTTGCGCAGCAGAAAATCCAAAATGGATTTCTTGTTTGGGAATACATATGTAAGTGTGTTAGTTTTATTCGCTTAATGAACATTTGATAATATTATTAATTTCTTTTTAAATAATTTATAGCTACTTAATACATACATACATGTTTATATATATGTTTGCTTTGCTTAGCTTTTGTGGTAAAAAAAGGTCATACATTAATACAAATATTTTTTATATAAATATTTATGTATGTACGTACGTTCTTGGTCAATTAGCAGCTCGATATTTATGTAATTGAATATAAAATATGTCAAAGTTGAAGCTTTTTTTTTTTAATTATAGTTATACAATACATATATATTTGTTTTATTTAGTTTTCAGATTAAATTCGAAGCTTAAGTAAAGATTGTTAGTTAAGTAGGCACTTTATAGTAGAAATGGTAGATATTGCGAAAAGCACAGGATATTTGTAGGGAAAATTGAATAAAGTCCTAAGAGGTAATGTAAAAAAAAAATCATTAAACATTAAAATTAACTTAAAAGAAACAAAGAGTTTTCAATTTGAATTTATGGAACATTTTGTATGATACAAATACTAGTTTGTTATCAGAGCACGATTGTTACTATAATAAGCAACCCTGGCAACAGGAAAAGCTTGTAGCTTGGAAAACTGCTCAGCTAAACGAACGAAAAAGTATTTTCCAAGCAATTTGTGACACATGGTTATAAATGCTAGACAAGGATAGAGCTAGTGTTCAACCATAATTGGTTCCCACAACGTCAAAGAAATATGCAGAGTTCTCTTGCTGTGAACCTCTCTTATCAGGGTACTGTTATCACATCCGTCGTTATACTTATGGAGAACTCTACTAGACTTGCCAAAGCCTTGAACTTTTTATTTCCAAGCTGGTCATATCCTGCATGTGATTTTATATCGCCATCATGCCAATTTTAGCACGGGATTTTGTCGTAGACATCGGTTCACATGCATCGTCTGGATGATTTGTTCTTATAAGAGACTGATGCCCAGAGCATACTGAACAAACTGAGTGAAAATAAAACACCTGTAAATGGCGTACCCCATTCCTCAATCGAGGCCAACAGAACTGATGTTCCATTGTCCGACTTTGAAAAGGGTCGATTAGCAATCGCTAATAGCAAAGAATTGACATGGTCGACTGAAAGCATGCCTGATGATTGCCGATGTCCAAGTGGCTTAGCCCAGCCTACAAAAACGGGAACCATCACAATCTGCGCCAATAACTCAATTACCTCTCCGAGTTATTCGATACCAAACGAGGTTTAAGACAAGGTGACCAAACCTTTAATAGCAAAAAGTAAAAGATCACTTAGTATTCGTGTAGGTGCAGTGACAAAGGCATCTGCCACTAGGTCAACTTCTCTACAATCGTTATGGCTAAGCAGTTCCTCCTAAACTTAGTATGGACGTACACAGCAGGATACCGGGTAACGAAATGGCGGTCGAGCTGGCAGCTCATTATAATAGAGTTTTATATCGCAGTTGCTCTCTAAAGATGGATGAAACTCAAATCTGGTCATGTAGCTAAGGTAATGTGACTGGCATGGAATCAAAGAAGATGGAGAGAGGTTATTCACTAAAGCTATAAGAAACGAAATATCTACAATGATGGTTGACTAAATGTGCGGCTGCTGCCAGCACATTTGGGCCAATACGCCCATTGTGAACCATTTCGTGTGCCTTATAAAGACAACGGGATTTCCAATACTCGCTGAGGCTATCTAAGCGAGACAATCGAAGAAATCTTGTTCAAGAATTTTGTATCGCGCTGATGTAAAGGCTGGACAGTGGCAGATGTAGTGCAGCTGCGAAATGATATCTTTTCTTTTCCCATGAAGCCCCAATAAAGAGTGCCCAGTTAATATTCCCGTCGGTACGCTAATGGAGAACTGGTCTAGAAGCATAAGATGTTTGGATTTTTTCGCCTCCAGCTACGGCCGTAGCTGTTTGGTCACGTGATCTCGTTCAGCCATCTTGAGTCAGTTTCTCTAAGTAGGCTGGAAACGCTAGGAGCGGCTAACTTTGGAGACTTGAGTCACATAGGATACATAACGTGTTGGATTGATGGAGTTGAGAGGAGAGAGAGAGATAAGCATCAAACAATAAGAACGGCGTCGTGCTAATGGCTCTAGCGATGACTGAATTAAGAAAAATTTTGCTCCCTCTGTTGAATAGTAATAATATTTAATCAGAAAGTTTTGTCTCGGTAGATTAGACTCCGATGAGATATAGAGCTACATTGACATATATCAGCGAATCAAGAAACAGCGACTGCGCTGGCTAGGTCATGTAGCCCAAATGGATAAGAATATTCCAGCTATGAAAGATTCGATGCCGTGCCCTCCAGAGGAAGCTGAAGAAAAGGAAGACCTCCACTCCGTCGGAAATATCAGGTAGAGAAGGAACCGGCTGTACTTTGTATTGACCCCAATAATCGCGTAAGCCATGTCTATGGCAGTAAAGAAAGAAAGGAAGTAGAAGATTAGATTCCGAAAGTGCCAATCCAGTTGGTGCGACATTTATTTGTAGAAGGCGGCCTGAATATCCGAGTGATTAGCAATGTGTACTGCCTTTCTGAAGAAAGTAGATTTTTCTAATTCTTTTTAATAGAAGAATTAAAGCTCCTCATAAAAATCCATCGACCATTCGGAGGTGGCCTAGAATAAACTGCAGGTTCCTTCTTTATTTGGGGGGAAAAATATATGAAGACTTATACATCAAAATAGGGAAAAAATGGGGGCTCGGCCAAATATCGCTTTAGTGGTTATAAAGCGAAAGATATATCATCCGAAACTTGCCTATGTATTTAAATTCTTCATACAATGAGTTTTCTCAAAAATTATAGAAAATAAAATGATATAATTTTTTGGAAAGGTGAGAAGGTTAATTGGTATTTAACGGCTTGAACCGATTTATTAGAAAATATAATTTGTTTTTAATGCAGCAATATTGTTTAGGCATATATTGTGTAGCGTATGTATGTATAAAACGTAAGCGTATAGGTATTAAAAATGCTATTAGTATTAAAAAGTAGCAAATACTATTTTTAAAAAGGCATTTTGTGTTAGTATTTGAATTATAAAATATTTTAATTGAAACTCTTTTTTTTTGTTTTTTTTTTTACAAGTGGCATGATTCCAGCATTGTCCTTCCTCCTCCTTCCTGAAGCTCCATTGTTTCCGCTTTATGGCACACCGCCACACACACATATATGCTTATCACAATTTGTATTCTTTATTGTATTTCGCGCTCATCTATCAAAATACTCACTTTTGTTTGCTCTCAATCTCGATCTTTCAGACCCAATACTCTCCTGAACCCCGACAGTGTTTTGCTGGCACTCGCATTTCCCGTTGTTGTTGTTGTTGTGAACGTGTACGCATTCGCATTCACATTCGCTTGCTGATATGTGACGGGAAAATCTGTCGGGGCCAGGAGTAAACCTCACGTTCGCACAAATTTATACACAATCAGAAACACCATAAACGATATGCCCACCAATATGACGGCGGTGATAACTTTCGCACACGTATTAAGACCCGACTCGTTGGGATTCAGCGGTCGCGAACTGGTGCGCGTATGCGAACGTCTTCGTTTTGTGGCGAGACCGCGTGCCAGTGCCGGAAACGCCAACGATTGTGTAAATGTCAGTTTGTGTATAGATTCGCTTAGTGAGTAGGGGCCGACCGAGCCGCGCGCCGCCGCACGTAATAGTACATATTCCAAATCCAATGCATCGAATAGTGAGTAGCGCGCTGTCATCGTAGAGGAGCGACGCCGTTCGTAACGCGAATCACGTTCACGATCCGATTGCGGCTGCAGCCATGGGTCGGAGACGCGCTGCTGTGAGCCCGCACCAGCGCCGGCAGTTAAACAACCTGCCATAGCCGCGGCGGAGGATGAGGAGGAGCCGGCAACGCCGATTGCCCCCATGCCACCGCCCAAGCTAACCGCTGCGACGGAGGTCAGCGACGACGTCGTCGACGAAGACGCAGAGCAAAGACGCAAATTCGTTGCTAGTCCATTATCATGGAATTCCGTTGCATCTTCGATCGATGTTTGATCTGGTGAGGTTTGTGCTCGTTCCAAAGCGGCAGCGTGTTTCATACGCAAGGCAAATAAACGCGCATGATCGGGATGTAGTAGCGCGCTGGATTTGCGTCTATAATTTGGTGCGCCGATACTGATACTGGCGCGAGCACCGGCACGTGCACCGCCCAGTGAGAGATTTGGCGAGCCCTGTGTTGGAGTTGTGGCGGGTGAGACGTTGCAGGAGTTACTGCCAATGCCCAAGCCTGTACCCAGTAGCGTAACGCCTGGTGGCGGCGGCAGTGCGTTTGGCGAGGGCGACGCCTGCACCGAATCGATGCCGGAGTCGCCCGCATGCAAGGTATCACAGTAAAGCGAGCTACGACGTCGTTCGCCCAAACAGGTGTTGCTGAGCGTTAAATGATTGCCATTACTTATGCTATTGTTTTTGGTATTGTTGTGATTGCTGGTGCCGCTGGTTGTGGTAGTGGTCGTAGTTGAGCTGCCAGCACCGGCGCTGTCCCCAGTCGTACTGCTGCTGCCGGCGCCACTGCTGCTACTCGTACTCGTCTCGGCAATGACAGGGAAGATGAAGGATTGGCCATCCGCCTCACCACGCGGCGAATCCTGATGATTAGAGCGAAAAAAGTTAAAAAAATTTATTTTTAAAATTTATTTTCTTCAATTAGACACATATAAGACTATCGAAAAGGTAATTGAAGGTTTGTTAAGGTGGTTGGGTGTGCGCAACAAAAATGGCCGGAAGTGAAAATTGTATGGCCGAATATGGTGAATATGAAAAGAGATTATTTGTGAAAATATGGGGGAAAAAAACTAGTGAAAATGAGTGAAAAGTGATAAAAATAATTTTGCGTTTATTTTAGGTTATGTACAGTTACATTTATGTGTTATTATGTACACTATTCTCATAAAGAATGTTTTTATAAAGTTTAGAGTTTGGTGTAAAAAGTTTAAAATATTACAAAAATCTGAAAAAATCAAGTCTCCAAGTTTAATTGTGCGAAAGCAGTAAAAAGCTCTACATAAAAATGTGAAATTTCAAAACTTACGCATAGGTTATGTACATATATACTCAAATAGAAAAGAGAAACGATGATAACTACGACAACAGTGGAAATTACTTTTTTTTATATCCAACCAATGTTAACAGATATAGACAATTTTCGAAGAAAGTTTCAGTTTTTCTTTGGTTTCTCCCTGATTTTATAGGTTATGCTGCCTCCGCGCTGTTTGGAGTTCAGTTACGTTAAAATGGCTGCAGCACATTAGCTTGCAGCGATCTACAATATAATATCTTTGAGTTTTTGTTCGCACTCGTTCAAGAGACCGAGCTACTCAATAGCTTAGTTTAACAGGTTGCTTTATTGCGAAATACTGCTCAAATGCACTTAGTCTTCATGACCCGTTGGGATACCTACCTATTTTGGTCCTGCTAAGGAGATTCCTTTCACCTTTCCAAATCTTCAAACCACTTGGTATGTTCTATGAAATTCAAGAGATTGGTAAAGCCTACCAATGTAAGCTCTGACATGCAAACTAAGAAGAAATTTCCGAGAAAACGGCTACGGATCACACTGAGAGCTGGGTAGAGTCAGAGGAAGTATTTCACCGATTACTCGTCATCTATGTCCTTGCAGCTGCTGCAAAAGTCATTTAAGGAGCAGCCCAACTTCTACCATGAGTCCCTATAAGACAGTGTTTGGTTATTACGGCGGTTGTCATACTTATGGAGGTCTGGCTTAGGAGTAGTAGTGATTTAGTTCGCTTTATCTTAAGTAAGAGCTAGATTTATCTTGTTAAACTATACGAGATTTCGAACTGCGATCTGTTGTTGGCCTTTCTGATTAAGGCTAGTCTTAGCAAATACTTTGCCGTTGAAAGCGGTGTGCCAACGTCATGTGCCGAGCTTACCGCCAGGGACTCAAACTATGGACGTTTTCTTACAGTTAGTACAGAGAGTTTGCTTAAGGTATCTCCACCATTTATTGCCTCCCACCTTTGAGGTAGTATGATTGCATTGAAGAGGCTCAATGCTACACCTGACTGTCAGAGTATATATGGTTCAGATTAAACTCCACCCTACCTAACCTACCTAACCTACCTAACCATCTAGTTTAGAGCCGTCGGTGATAATGGCTATTGATCTATGATACAAAACTCTGTTCGCTCTGGGATTTTTGTTGAGAAAGCGTTCCCGAAACAGCCCACCTCTTCGAGTTGTATCAAGTCTTATTGCGTTGCACCCCACTTGGAGTTTCCCGTATAGGTCTACCGGGGAAAAATTAAGTTGAATTTCATAGCGCTTTCATAGAAAGTGTGTAATGGAGTATGGAGACCGTCCGTGGGAATTTTGCTTCTGTAGGTAGGCTTGTCTAGTGCTGGTCACGCCAAACTGTGACTTCGTAGAACATATTTTTTTCCGTTCTTGTAGCCAGTACATAATATGTGGTCTTAGTTCCCAGCTCTTGCCAATTGTCGCCTTGCATGCGTAGAATGCGGTTCAGGTTCCAGGTGAGTTTGATGAAAAGTACCAGTTTGTTCTTTGTAGGACTTACATCCAGACCGCGCTCACTGTACGTTAATTGAGTGAGCCCGAAAGGGGCTGGCCGCCGATCTCGCTTGTCACAAGAAGTTTTTAATTAGCGACCAAGCTCGGTTTTGGTTGAATTATTACGTTAATAAACAAAAATTGTCTCATTTGGAGTAATGGTAATCTATAAGCCATTATTGAGACGTCGTCATGTTCTCAGTAAGTCACTATTTGGTGCGTTATATGGAGAGAGGGAATCATGCTGAATTGGATAATATTGATTTGGACGACCTTCGGTGGTGGCATAAAGACTGCACTAAATTCACGTTTTGTGTAAGTGGCGTGGCTCCTAAGACCGACCGACTGAATTCCGCGGGACTACTTTTTGTGGAATTATGTAAAGTTTTAAAAGAGAATATCATCACGACATCCGGCCCAATCAGCTGGCGAATCCTTATCCTTATAAAAAAGTTGAGTTTTTTGTCACTTAGATCCTTGGAACATTCCACAGTTAGATTTAGATGGTATTGATTCTCCTCTGCTGGATCTCTTTTCCATTCACCTCTAATGACTATGAAGCTCCAGCCAAGGGAGATTAAAAAAAGTTCGGTCGATTGGTGACTTTCAATTTGTTTTTGTTAAATCTGAAAATGCCAAATCCTTTGCAATCACTTTGTTAGTCTTCCTTCCAAATTTTAGAACGATTGGCTTAAATGGAGACGAGAAAACGCAAGACAGTCGAGGATAGGTCAAACGAAATTCCACCACCAACGCGAACAGAAATTCGCCAAGTGATTCTTTTCTGGTTTCGGCGTAATTTACAGCTAAGACAAATATTCAGTCAGTGCCGAATTGCATAAGGAACGATTGCACTGTTTTTAAAGACTATTTCTGAGTAGCTAAGAAGATTTCACACCGCACATATTTCCGTAGAAGACGAGCCACAAGAAGGTCGACTAAAATCTTCCACTGACCGAATTTTTCTAATTTAAAGTGTCGTCAATTAATTCAGTATATACGGAAGGAGATATGCCAGGAATGGTCAACAAACGCAGCAACAACACTTAGTTACGTTAACAAGAAAAAACATATTATCAAGATGAAATGAAATCATCGTTGAAACCGCACAAAGTGGCAATGATGCTAAGAGCACACTTCAATTGTAACATTTAACATTGTCTGCTAACATTAGCTGTTAACGATTCAAGATTGTCTGTTAACGATTTAAAATTGTCTGTTAACGATTCAACATTGTCTGTTGCGGGTTTAACATTAAAGAGGAATTTTGGTTTCGGGTAAAAACAAAAAGAAATTTACTTTGATAACTGCTTTAACGTTAATACTTCCAAATATTTCAATTGAAACTATAGACATTTTTTATTATCGTAAAACTAATCGTTACGAGGCAGTTTTGGTATATAAATACATATAAATCCTATTTTCTAATGACTTTTAGAGGGTTTGAAGTATGACGGAGACTTGAAGGTTTGTGGTTTTCCGTCTTAATATTTTTCCAACAAATGGAGGGAGCTACAGTTTATACTCAGCCGCCTACGAACGGCTGATGTTTTTTTTTACGAGAATCCTTTATTTCATGTCCGAAATGCACTTGGAGGGGCGATCGCAATTAGAACATTTAGCTTAATTTTTTATTCAAATTAATTGCCTATGGAAGAAACTACTGTCTCCTAAATTCAGTTTAATTTTTAATCTCGTCATAATTATGTTATTTTTATTATTAAAGTGGGCGTAGTTATAATCGTTTCACTTTCCGCTCAAAATATACTTAAGAGCTTAGTGGAATTCTGGGATAAGAGAAGAGGGGTCCATGGCAGGGAAAAATAGAATATTTATTTTTTTTTTCAGTGAGTTGCTCCAACATATTAGTGATACAAAATTTATTTATATAAAGTTGAAAAATATTATACATTATAAAAATTCTTCGAAATATTTAGTTATAAAAGTTATTATGGAAAAAATGTCCAAAATTATTTATTTATTGAAAAAAAGTTTATTAATTCGCTATTTATGGTTTTACAGCGCATCTTATTGCTTTTTGAGGAGGCACAGGGATTTCAAAAATTGATTGAAAAGCATGCAATTTACAAATAAGTTAATGTTTTTATTTTTAACTATAAAATTTAATTGAAAAATTCATATAATTGAAGAAAAAGTTTTAGATTGAAATGGACACGCCTACCCGTTGGCCTTCGGGGCCGCTGTTACGTCGCAACTGCACGAAGCCCTCCTGTCGTAAAAGTGGCTAAACATTATTTTTTTTTATTATTTTGTTTTTGTTTTTTATTTTACCACAATATGTTACACCACATCACAAAACCAACGCCAAACCAAGAAAACAAACAACAGAAAGTAGGTATTTGTATAATAAATTTATATATATAGATATATATATATATAAGTGTAAATGTATAAAAGCCAAAATAATCAACGCAACGGTAAAAATAGAACAGCAACAATAATGGCACAATGGCAGAAGTAACGCTAAGTCGTATGTATGTATGTATGTGTGTATGGTACGAGTATGATACGTGAACAAGTGTTGTTGTTGGTGTTGTCCTTGTCGTTGTTGTATTATGATTTTGGCGCTAAAAACTAAGAATTTTGCAAACACTCGCAAATTGAATTTGACTTTGTTGTTGTTTTCTAAAGAAATCTGTTGTTGTTACGGTTGACTTGGTACTTTTTTTTTTTTTTTTTTTGGTTTTTTGTTTTTTGTTTGTTTTTTGTTTTTGTTTACCCACAATTAGGCCACATTCCAAATACACACCTGACTGGGCCACACTTGCAACAGCGGCAGCGAACACGTCGGCTTGTTGTATGCCGTCCCATTCTCCGTTCCACCCGGTGCACTTTGCGCTAAACTCGTGTAATGCAAATGATTGAAGCGTTGTGCGTCATTTGTGGGCTTGGTGCGTGTGGGACTTTCATAGCCGGTTGAATCTTCGGATGATGTGGTTTTTGGTGAACGCCAAAATCTTTTCAGACGCAGTTCGCGTCTTTTTTCTTGTTTCTGTAAGGAGAGTGAAATAAATTTTAAATAAATTTTAATAAAAATCGTAAATAAATAGAAACTGGAAACAGTTAAATGAAACAATAATCTTTAAGGTATTCAAAGATAGTCCAATAAATTTACTTTCAATCCCTCGACAGACTAAATTTCTATGAAATAATTTCTACTTGAACTCAAGGGAGGGGAAGGCTAAGACGTTCTGCCACAATCAGTGAGGTTATGGTGAGTGTCTTACATAGAACACACTCTTAAGCCGCATACAACAGATTAGGGGTTGATTCTAGTAAGACGGAGCTCTTGGTATTCCAAATATCCAAATAGAACCAAAATATCGTAATTTCAAATTTCCTCTCTTTATCGGTACTAAAATTTCTTGTCCCCTACAACGAATATCTATCGATACCACACTGTGTTGGAAGATGAATATTATAAAGCGACTAAAGAAAGCCTGTGCGGGTTTAAGAGCCAATGGTGTATGGAACCCTGAATCAGACTGAACTCGGCATATCCATTGCCTGGGTTTCTGGTGTATTTTCGGAAACAAAAAAACTGATGAGTTGTAAGTATCTCTAGTTGAACATGAAGTGGAGTCCCTACCATGTTCGTTAGGAAGGATTATGAGGGAGTGATTTGCAGGAATAAAGCTAAATAGATGGACATCTATATTCAACTGTAAGATAGTGAAGAAGATTTGGCTCAAGTATGACAAAAATAAAACAAGAAGAAAGAACCAAAATAATACGTCACTGGCTTTTCGGAGAGCTTGTATCCGATGTAGGCTTAACCTATAGTTTTCGCAGTAATGGATATATATTTTTGCTTTACAAATACCCCGACTGCCCACAAATGGCTTTCAGACGGAAATCACTGAGAAGGATCCCTAAACTACCGCTTCGCACAAATTTCGTTTCACAGAGTTATCACGGAATGATAAAGTGGTTATCGATCGTCGAACAACACTGAAGTACTCGTTCGCTTGTTTCATACTACAGAACTCCCATATTGATGAAGCTTCATAAGAAAACAACGCACAGCGAATAAGTTCCGAACAGACTCTAAACTTCAAAATTAGTTTTGGGTGTTATGGAGTTTCTGCGTTCGTGAAATATCAAATCTCTGTTGTCTAGACGGAAGCACAAAAGGGAAATCAAGCGGCCTAAGGAAAAATGAGGAAGTTATATCAGTTATAGCACCTCCGCAAGTGCGGCTACGAGATCCGTCTAGTACGCGGTGGGCCGCGGAACGGCAGGAAGGTTCTTTCCTTTCAAAAGATCAAAACTCTTGCTTCAGCTGTGTCAAACTTGCAGTGAAGTATTTCCTTTCCTTGACTAATTAAGTGACCTGTTGCCCTCCAGAGACCGGATTCCGTTCTGTAGTTGACTAGGAAACAGGCGTTTAACATCTTTAGCAGCTCGCGCGGACGATGTTCGGCTGGTCCAGATGCTTTCTTTGGTTTAAGTTATCTTGTCGCCAATTGCAGCTGTTCTATGTTATTAAATTCGTGTAAAGTTCACTGTTACTAAGCAAAATATCAGCTAAATTCAAAGTTCTTTATTCAACTATCAAAAAGTGAGTTGTTATTTGAAGCAAGAAAGTTTTCTCAAAATTACTAGACAAAGAGTAAAAGCTCAAATTTCAAATAAATACGTGCAGGATGCGGGAAATACACACCTACATATATCATACAATATGCACTAAAACTTTTCTTTCCTAAAATCACCTTCATTCCGCGGAGTTTGTTGCTGGTCAGACACGTTATTATATAAAAATATATGTACATAAGTGGTAAAAAAACAACAAACAGCAACGGTGATTGCAACAAGCTGGCTTTCATTTACCATTCGAGTTAACAATACAGTTGTTAAAAGCAATTTTCACTGTTACATTGTTTTAAGGCTTTTTTTTATTACTTTTTACTGTTTTAACAGATTTCTATTGTTTGAGTTTTTTTTGTGTATGTGGCACTTTTAGAATTCATTTCGCATGTCCTTTAACACGGTGTTTTATTGACATTTAATTTGGAAATTGTTGCGCCACAAATTCAATTACTCCGCTATGTGTATTTGTAACAAATATTTTTACCTCAAATCGATTGTGTTTTGCCTGCAAGAGGATTATATAATACAAATAGCCACGTGTTAATTGATACGAAGGAATTTTATGAATATATATGTACAGTAGGAAAAGTTGACCGAATTTTATAATGGGCATTCTTATAATAATTCATTAAATTTTATTTCATTTGACTTGAATTCACTTCATTTAATTTTATTTGATTTGACTTTAATTTATTTCATTTAATTTTATTTGATTTCATTTAATTTTTTCCATTTAATTTTTTTTATTTTCTTATTTTATTTAATTTCATTTTTTATGCCACTTTCGTTCAAATTATTTTGTATTTTTAATTTATTTTAATTTAATATTGTTGTATATTATTTTTTGTATTGTGCTTAATTTTATTTTATTTCTTTTCATTTATTTAATGTATATTATTTTATTTGATTATGATTTATTTTGTATTAATCCTATTTTAATTTAATTTATTTTCTTTTAATTCTTTATATTATTTTGTTTCATTTTACTTGACTTTGCTTTATTTTATTTAATTTTGTTAATTTTTTTTAATGTTATACTATTTAGTTAAATTGTCTTATATTTTATTAATTTTTTTTTTTCAATATAGTTTTTGTGCTTTATTTTTCTTTAATTTAGCTTATTGAATGATTTCATTTCACTTTAGTTAACTTTTTTTATATATTAATTCAAAGTTTTAACTTTGTTAAATTTTATTTCATCTTATGTCGTTTTTAGTTTTATTTTATTTTGTTTAATTTTATTTTACTTTATTTCCTTTATTTATTTTATTTAATTTTTATATGGTTATTATAAATTTCATTTTATTAAATTTTATTTTGTTTTATTTTATTTTATTTTATTTTATTTTATTTTATTTTATTTTATTTTATTTTATTTTATTTTATTTTACTTTATTTTATTTTATTTTCGCTTTTTTTAGATTAAGCTACTTCATTATATTTTTTTATTTTATCTTGTTTTCGTTTATTTTATATTAATAAATTATAATATTTTATTTTGTGTGATAATAATTTTAATTTATTTGTTTTAATACAATTTTCTTAATCTAATTTTACTATTTTATTTTATTTTAGTTTGTTTTATATTGTATTATGGTTTTATATTATTTTATTATTCTTTGTTATTTTAGTATATTTTTGCTTTAATTTATTATCTTTAATTTTGTTATAATTTATTTTTTTGTTTACTTTGTTTAATCTATTTGTTTATTTCAAGCTTTGATTTTTCATTTGATTTATATTATTTACTTTATATAATTTTATTTTTGTTGAGTTATTTTTTCTTAATTTTATTTTTGTCAGTTAAAAAAAGGTTAGATTGGTCTACAGCATTTTACATAAATTTTAATAATTTATTTAGTTTATATCAATATTTTAATTTTTGTTTTATTTTATATTTTTTCTTTTTATTGCAGTTATATTTTATAGCCTTTAATTAATTTAGTTTTATGGTGGTATATTGATTTGTTTAATTTTATTTGATTTTAATAATTCATATATATTTATATTTAAGTCTATTTCTATAACTTTATATTAATTTTTTATATTTTATTTTTTTGATTCTATTTTATTCTAAATTATAAGTTACGTATATAAGTTTAAAGTTATAAATTTCATCTATTTTTATACATATGTTTTTTAATTTTAAATTTAATATTTTTATAATTTGTATACATTTTTTAATATTTCAAGCTTACTTTATTTTTCATTTTATGCACAATTTATTTTTTAATTAAAATTCTTAGTTTTATTTCATGATTTTTTTCTTCTTGGTGTTTTGAGATTCTGAATTTTTAATTCACTATATCTTGCCAAAACTCAAGCGGCTTGACCTTAACGCATTTAACAAAGCATTCGTATAGTTTCCTTTCAAAACTCTTACCTGCATATTTAGATATTAAATCGTTTCTATTTAGGTTTTTCATCCCCAGTCTCTAGTTGTGGCAAGAATATCAATCAAAAAGTTGCACAACGAACATCTAATCTGTAAAGACAAATAAAATCAATTAAAACTAGTTGAATAGAGAATATGCACCTACATCATATGTACATATATGGAATTATCTGGTATCCGCTACGAGTATATATGTACATATGTACACATGAGTTTACTCGACAAACTTTTTCTATTAGCCAAGTCTTCTACAACCACAGCAGTAAGTTCAGAATTTCAAATTAAATGAGAATTTCCTTTCAAGTTTCCTTTTCCCTCTTCATCTTACTTTCGTAAACTTACACTTTCTATGTACAGATGTAATATGGCCGCAGCATGAATCCATCAATCTCACTAATGATCTTAACCGCTTATCCGCCCCACATTTGCCACCTTTGCTTACTCAGTTTAAACTCACACTTCCGGGAATGTATCAAACCGCGAGTGGAATTTAGTAGCGAATGCGTGTAAAGCGAGAAAACCAATGATGCCATGTAATCGCATCCTGAACTGAATGCTTTGATTTATGACCGCTGCGTTGGTGTATCGAAGCAATGCAACGATAAATGTTTGAAATATTAACAGTTCCCAAAAGGAGCTGCTGAAATTTTGAAATTGTGACAAGTCATTGAGGGAAAAGGAAACTGCAACTTGTTATATAAATATGTACATGTATAAAGAATGTTGCAAACTTTTAGGTTAAGACTTTTAGTTGCTCATTTTTAATTTGCTTTAATTTATTTTACTAAAAATATATGTGTTTTAAGATTTTACATCAGACGCGAGTGATTGTGTGGTTAGTGATGATGTGTTACATGATCATAAATATCTTACGCATGACCAGTTATGGGGTTTTAATATAATATGTGATTGACGATGGAAGTTGCTGAAGGCATTAAGAGTTTACTTCCTTGGAAGTATTAATCAATTTATATTTGACAACATTGATGCAGCACATTCGCACTGATACAATCACTCAGTCTTATATACTATGTATTTGGATGTACATACATTCTCCTCGTTGCACTTATCTCTAATAGCAGAGAGAGTATATCACTTAACTACGCACACAATCAGTCAATTAATTTTCGTCAATTAAAAGCTGAGAGGTACGAGGGGATAAATAAAAAAGTCAGTTGGTAAGTTCGGTCAGTTGGTCACTTTCAATTTGTTTTTGTTAAAGCTAAAAATACCACTTCCTTTACATTTACTTTATTAGGCTTCCTCTCAAAGTTTAGAACGATCGGTTTAAATGGAGACGAGGAAACGCAAGACAGCTGAGGATAGGTCACACGTAATTCCACCACCAACGCAAATAGAACTTTACCAAGTGATTCTCTTCGAGTTTCGGCGTAATTTACAGGTTATACAAATATTCAGCGAATGCCAAATTGAATATCGAACGATTGTACTGTTTTCAAAGACTACTCCTTAGTGGTTTGAAGATTCTAAACCGCTTATTTTTCCGCAGAGAACGAGCCACTAGAAAGTCGTCCAAAATCTTCCACTGATGAAGTGGCTGTAGCACTGGTGAAGTTCCAATTTGACGAAGAGCCACGATTTCCTAAACAAATTCGAAAATGGTTAGTCTAGCGACCCAAGTAAAATCATTACTGGTGAGACGATTCTTCGTTCCATAAGTACGATCAAGAGACCAAACAGCAGTCCATGGTATGGAGCGCAACGGGAGCAAACCCACCCGTAAAATCTTAGCAAAAAAAAAAATCGTCAGCAAAAGTAATGATGTCAGCTTACTGCACTCGATCTAAAATCTGTTGGAAAAGGGTCAGACGGTAGCTCCAAAATGGTACTCTGAAGAGTGTTTACCAAAAGTTTTCAAAAATTTGTTGGCAAACGGGAAGAAAGAGGATTTGCGGCGTCACTTTTTACATCATGACAACTCGCCATCCCACACTGCTGTAACAACGAGTAATTTTATAGCAAACTCGAATAAATAAGTCCATCACCATATTCCCTGGATAAAAGCACCTTGTGTTTTGTTGTTTTTTTTTAAATTAAAAAAAAATTTGAAGGAAAAGGTTTATAATAGCAACGAGGAGGTCATTAATGCAGTGAATGCTGAACTTGATAAGCTTAAAAAGCAAGGTATTGAAGACTGTTTTGCTGAAGAAGGTGACTATGTAGAGAAGATAAAAAAGGACGGAACTTTTTTCAATCCCGTCGTATATGTGTGCGCAAGTTCAAATGTCTAAGCATATATTGAAGGAAATTGAAAGGGTTCGAAACAAAAATACCATAAGGAGATAAAGGGACAGAACTCTGTCGATGTTTTAATATTGAATAATGAATGTACAATAGACAGTTTTGCAATCAGTTCGGTCGGTTTAATTTATCTGTAGTGAAAATAATTCATTGTACGACAGAGAAGATTATAGGTGGCCATGGGTGTCATAACTAATTCATAAAAAAATTATTACAGTGATGAAATTTCAGACCAACAGACATCATGCCAGTATCTTCAGATACCGAATCGCCTACGAAGTTAGCTCTCGGAGGTCTTAGCGCATCGCATAAGGTAAGACAGCAATTTGATGATCTCGCTTAGACTTATAAGTAGCTGCTCAAATGAATAGTTACATTACAATAAAAATTAAAAAAAAAAAAACACCAACAACAACAACTAAAACATAAGCAATATATGAAAAATTTGCGACACACAAATAGTGCCGGCGGAGGTGGTTGCCTGCGAACAGAGCAAGCACTAAAATCATTAAAAATTGCATCTAACAAAAAATTCCAAAGTGGAACGAAAACTGCCAATACACAAATATTTTACAATTTTTCTTGGAGAAAAAGCTTAATAAAAATGTTTGCTGATGTACAAAAACTTGCAGATTTTTTTATTTAATTATATTTTCCATTTATGGTTAGTAATATTTAAATGTCACGTTATTAAAAACATTTTAACATAAATTCTAATACACAAAAAAAATTGCATAGAATAGACCAAAAATTATGTCGAAACAGCATAACTTAAAAATTAATTGAACTTATTTTCTGACTTCAGGTTATTTTTTTCTGCTTTTTTTTTATTTGCCTTTTTTGAGTATAGTTCTTGAGTGCTTTCAATATGAGTGTGTATGCACTACTCAATTAGCCAACTGCAATAAATGTCAGATGAAAATGTGTGTGCTGTCGTAATTAATTATGCTTTGGCTACCCGTAAAAGGAACAAAAAATAATACTGACTAACGGTAATTGCATTAACACAAGATGCAATCGTTATCAGGTTGTTGAAGGCACAAATTGATGGCATTCTACTTTAAGTAACACAGGTAATGTTTGTTGAAGAAATGTATTTTTTTAATATAATTTTTATTACAAAATTAATTTTGAATGAAAAGTGCATTAATTTTCTCCATACATATGTACATGTATATAAGAATTTAGTTATTTAATAATCGAAAATATTTGTGCATTACTAATGTAAAAGCTCGGCTCACGAGGGGTATCTTACGCTGAGTCCAATATTTGGTCGACATAATCGCCCAGCAGAGTGTTGCTGTGGAGTAGAGTATCCAAGAATATTGGTATGAGTCCATCCGTAGTCGTTCGCTATAATAAGAAGTGATGTTAAGAGATTGAAATTAATAAAATTATTTTTTTTTTTGTAATACTCGAATTTCTATTCAAAAATCCGAAAAATTCGTCATAAAATATTTGCTTTTAATATAAAATTTTATTATTTCACATATTTTTTTCACTTCATGAAACATAAAAATTCTTGATTACTCACTTTACACTCATTTGCAAGTTGCCTCACAGTTCAGTGCCTGCGTGTATTACGCCTAAGCCGCTCGAGTAACAGCTGTGCCATTTGTAAATGTTACTCTATATCATTAAATTGCAAACGTGCATGGAAAAGCGTATTGAACTCTCACTTTATTCGCTTAATAATTTATACGAATGCCATAATAATATTATTCGCGCCACGCCTTAATGTGCGCATACATACTGCTTGACTGCAGCTGCTCAACTCGCTTGAATATTCTGAAATTGCACGTGAGTATAATAATGTTTGTTGGTGCATTTCGACGCGCAAAGTTGAAATTATTTTGACGCCTCGTATTATTTTGTTGCTCATACGCAGTGTAGCACGAGATCTTAAATACTGGTGAGCATGTCCAACAACGAGTTGGAATATACATTTTTTTTGGTAATATATTTTTTATTATGCCACTGAGTATATGAAATTTCATGCTTTTTTGGTTATATATTTTTATTTTATTTTCCGGGTATAAAATTGGTTATGAAACTCTTCAATTACGTATTGACTTAAAAACTAACTGCTATAAGCCTTTTCTAAAACAACCTGTCACTCAGTATGGGGACTTATTTCACAAAGTGCCAAACATATTCGAATTACTTTTGTGCTATCTGAACTTTAACCAAAATAAAACATTTGGCAGAAATCATTTTACAGCCGAAACTGGAGACTACGCACTTGTCGTTAGTACTGGATATCAAGTTGAGGTGGAAACTTCATGTTGAGGAGCAAGTTTAAAAATCATTAGCAGCTCTGTATACATTGTGACGAGCTCCAAGTCAGGCCTTTAAAGCTGGCACAATAATAATAACACCTCAGTATATCACATCAACATATCACATCATATCAACACATCACATCACATCAATAGATCAACATATCACCATAACGACAATATACGTCACACATTAGCATAATAAGATCTATATATCCATGAAATAGTCTATTATGGTTTTAAATAAATAAAATGAAGCACATGCGACTACAACAACAGCAAAACTAAATGCCAGTGCTTAGAAGAATTGTAGAAAAGACCAGCTACAAAAAGGAAGGCAAAAGTCTTGTGTAGCTTTGACACAAATAGGAGACGGCGATGAACTAATCACTCTCCAATTTAAAAATGAATATGTGATATTTAGAAGAAAGTTAGAGCGTGGTGTAAGACCCATTTTTTATTGAAAATGTTAGGTCTTTAAATTGCAGTGAGAAGGTCAGAGTAAGGTGCCACTTTCCTTATACACAAATAAGTTTTTAATGATACATA